ACGGCAGAGAAATCACTTTGGGCAAGCCTCCTGGCATTGTGTCTGCACTAAATGGCAAGGCAGGACAGAAGTAATATGAAGCTCGTACCTCAGGTTGTGGGCACAGAGCACAAAGACAAGGCAAGGCAAGGCAATACAAACCCAGGTAGAGTCAGGGTGAGTGAGTGCTATGAGAGGGAGAGAAGAGCCTGAGGATGTGCCTGGTCCTCTCCATGAGCAATAGTGTCCTTGCTGCAGCTTTACAATGATAGTTACAGGTACAGCCCAAGGTGCAGCGCTGAACTACAGAAATATCCTGCAAGTGAATTGAAGATGTGTCATGAGAGTTCTTAGAGGCTGGCACATGTCACATATCAATGTCTATGGATGTGACCGGACCAGAACCCCTCAAAATATTTTAAGAATATTTTAAAGGCAAATGTGAAGTGTCTGCTCCTGATGCTTTGTGACTGGTCAAAGTACTCGACGTTAAGCAAAACACAATTTATTTAAACACTGTAGGTAAAATACAACCAAAGAAAGAGGAATTTAGAATAACTTAACTCTATTGGAAACTTAACAGAATAATAAGTACAGTAACAATGACTAATTAACTGTTCCAATATAGTAACATCCCATAAACACATCCCCTGGCAAAAAAAAGAAAATTCAGACATAGATTCTCGCATGCAGTTCCCCTAGCCAGGAGGAAAAAAACATAGAGAAGATTCAATTAAAGTAGCAGCCAGGAGACATTCTAAGGTCCAGTATAATTTCAGTAAGAAATTTCTGCCCCTACCCTCAATACTCTCACTGAGAAGACGAACATGTCATTTGCTTTTTTAACTGCATGTTGCACCTGCAAACTTACCTTCAGAGACTGGTATATGAGCACACCCAGGTCTTGTTGCATATTCTCCTGTCTCAATTTTATGGTCACTCAGATAACAATCTGCTTTTTTGTTTTTGCTACCGAAGTGAATAAGCTCACTTTTATCTACGTTATACTGCATCCACATGCATTCACCCACTCACCCATTTTGTTCAATTCACACTCTAACTCCTATGTCTACAATTCTCAACATTTAGCTTGCTCAATTTGGTAAGATACCTGGAATTAGCTAGCCATTATTTCTCTGCATTTAAATTCTGTGCCTGTGCGCTTCCCTCCACTTCACCTGACAAAGCAACAGCTCTCCAAAAGCTTGTGATTTCAAATACACCTGTTGGACTATAACCTCATGTCTTATGACTTCTGACTTTGTCCATCCCAGTCTAGCACCGGCACCTCCACATTTGCTAAGAAAGCAAGCTGAATATTAATGAATAGAGTTATGGCATTAACAAGGCATTTAACAACCTATAATCTTCCTCAACTGGTAACTTGCTGCTGCCAAGTAACAAACTCCCCTTACCACTTAAAAAGTTATAAAAGATGCAGTGAATTTCTCCCGATGCCAGACTTTTACACATAGATCTGCCACAAATCTCACCATAGTCCATGTTGCTCAGGTTCCAATATGATTCTGTCCAAAGAACTTAAATTTCTACACTTATTTCTTCAACTTACAGGTATATCAAAGCTACATGCACTAATATTAAAGACTTCATTCAGCATCAATGTAAATGACATGTACAAAGCATTCTGCCTTTGTCTGAACTTTTGTGAGAAAAGTTTAATGTTCAAAGTTACCCATTGTTGACTTGTGCGAAAATAAATATTTGCTTTGGATTGAGTACTTGATCACAGTGCATTTCATACAGTTCTGAAACCACTTCATCTTTCGCAAGTGTATTCAACAACTCCTTTTAATTTACAAGTCCCAGTGCAAATACATTATTTCCACACTGTAGTTCTGCAGAAGGCAGCTTGATGACAGTCCAGAATTTTTGAGCAGTGCTTAACTTAGTGTTTAATCAGTAAAAGGCCTGTAGTGTAAGTTGGCTGGATGTTCTTCAGGCTGCTCAATTTTTTCAGATAATTGCAGGATATACTTTATTGTGACAGGATCTGAACAGTAGAATTCCAATATACTATACATCAGTTTCTCCATTATTGGATTAGCTCGATCAGGCATCATTACTGCAGTGCCCGTATTCCTATCATTGATTGAATCTTTTTTTCCTATTTCACAATTAATGCAAGTAGGCTGGATTGATCAATCTTCTAATGAGTTTGGGCTGCAGTCAATACATTCTTATGAGTGCATGCTACAGATCTGTGTGTGTTATGGCCAAGCCAAAAGATTTGTCATTCTTGCAATAGCTTATCCTTGTTTGTTTGTCTCATTTTTAAGACCTTTCTTCCCTCTATAGTCACTGTCAGGGCACAGCAATGCTTTAAAAAATTAAGTTTACCTCAATCCTAAAAAAATACAGCATTTGTTGACCACAAATTTCAAGACTTCAACAATTCTGTTTTAATCAGATGCCCTGTAGGCTGCGTAGGCAAATGTCTGTTCTTCAGTCCACTAAATCATTCTTTCAGAAATGACTTCAAATTAATATAAAACACTTTACTATTACAAAGTGTATTGATTGAGGGTGTAATTTATAAAAAAAAACATGTGACAGGTTTAACTTTTAGCCTGTGCTGCTGTCTTTCAGGAAAATTATGTGATGTATTCAGGGTATTGAACATTCCAAACATGAAGGTGCTGTGCATGAGTCACAGTTATGGCTGTAAATGATATCTTCATATGAATTCAGTTTTGAATTTTAGAAAGACTAACATTTTATACAGGTTGCCATCCAATCATGTCCTTGTGCAATGAATTAACTGCAGTGCGACTGCACAGTAAAGGAAAGTATTTTTCATAAAACCTATTGAAATGCAACCTTCAGGAGGAGCTCTCAAAATAAATTGGTATTTTCCACAGAATTTCAACTCATTTACATGAGCCAATTTGAATCCCTCTTAAATATTGCGCAACATTTTTAATTACTCAGTTGTAGAACTATTATCAATAAACTGGATTCAGTGACGAGTCTGATGTGAATGGACTTAATGATCAAATTTTCCTGACAATAAATAGTTTTACCAGCAAACTGATTCACCCAATTTGCCACTGTATCGAAGAAGTTATTTGGAAAGGCAAAGTGTTCAAAGCTAAGGATTCACTTTTATCCAGCAGACAAATATGTTTTCTCATCTTGTCTGTTTTGGCCAATACTTACCCGTCAAACAACATGTCAAACAAACAGATTATTGAATCATTATCATATTACTGTTTGTAGGACCTTGTGTGTAAATTGGATGCTGTGTTTTCTACACACAATGATGTCTACAGTTCATGAACGTTCAATTGGCTGTAAGTTATTTTGGGAGGTACTCAGAGCAAGAATGATGCTATGTAAATGCAAGTCTTTCTCTTCCTTTGGAACTGTTGTCAAGAGTGTAATGCTATTCAGCAGGCTGGAGTATCCCACCAATGGGGTAGAAGGGCCAGTGTGTATGCATCAGTAGTGGTAATTAGACACTCAGGAGGCTCCTGTGATCGTGTGTGCAGCTGGTAAATGAGATCATCTCCTAGTCCTGAGAGAAACAGAAGCTTGTGTACAATATGGGAGGATGAAATGTTTTCTGCTCCAATTGGATGACAAAGGTTTCTGACACCCACTCACACTGGTACAGGCCTGGGAACAGCATAGAACAGTACGATTGATGATTAAGGGCACAAAAATCTGCAACTGTATGACCTAGAGTACAATATAAGTGGATCAGGTGATCAGATTTTGGAATAGCAAAAGGTTGTGACAGCTAAAAAAGAAGAACAAGGAGTTCCTTTTTCTTAGACAACAAGGTGCAGGGCTGGATGAACACAGCAGGCCAAGCAGCATCATAGGAGCAGAGAGGCTGACGTTTCGGGCCTAGACCCTTCATCAGAAAAGGGGGAGGGGAATGGGGTTTTGAAATAAATAGGGAGAGAGTGGGAGGCGGATAGAAGAGGGATAGAGGAGAGGATAGGTGGAGAGGAAACAAACAGGTCGGAGAGGCGGGGATGGGGCCAGGAAAGGTGAGTGTAGGTAGGGAGTTAGGAAGGGGATAGGTCAGTCCAGGGAGGACGGACAGGTCAAGGGGGTGGGATGAGGTTGGTCGGTAGGAGATGGAGGTGCGGCTTGGGGTGGGAGGAGGGGATAGGTGGGAGGAAGAACAGGTTAGGGAGGCAG